TAGTTGACCTAGTCTAAGTTAATAGGATAGCAAGGTAAAATAATTATTACTCCTTAGATAATTTGTTTTTAAATTCATAGATTAATTAGTTTTTTATGGATTGATTTTTACTGCATGAATTGAATGATGCTGTTGAGATACAAATTAATAAATTATTAAATTGATTACTGATACACATATGTTAGTATATTGGCAGAATTATACTAAATGTAAACTCATAGGTTAATACCTTGTTTGTATGGATTAATATGTATTTAAAGAGAGTATTAGTACAATACCGTTAAACGTTATTTAGGCTAGTCAAGACATCCGTAGTACCTAGCCTGAGCTACTGAACCTGTAAATATAGTAAAGGTTTATTGTAAAAAGACCAACAAAACTCCTGAGAGAATTTGTAAAAATTGTACTTTATAGTTTGATAGTTTTATTAAAACAAACAAGATTGAGGATTTTTATTTTAAATCAAATTAAAATTTCAATATCTAAAGTTTAACATTTAGTAGTTTATATTGAATTAACAAAATTCTGATTATCCAACTAAATCAACCAAAAATTAACAGTGATTTGAGTGTAAACAACCAAGCTAATTTAATCGGAAGAATGTTCCATTAAAACATCAAAAATCACATTACAAACGCCAAATTAAATCAGGAGCTACAGTTACTTGTTGGGAAGGATTTAATTAACAGAGTGGAAGCTGGATACTGGGTGTTCGTTTTAATTTATATTTTTAAGATATTTCTTTTCATAATACAGCCAAGTGTACAAAACTAATTTACTCAGCCTTTATTCTGGAATGAATCAGGGTTATTTACACAGCTATATCAAGATTCTTACATATATTTTGTATGACAGTTATACAATACTGCATTATATACTCATTAAAATACTGTAATCCACGCAAAAGGTGATTTTACGTCGATTTGCTTTAAGTAACAGCAAGCTATCACTCAAGTCATTTTAACACATTTTACGATTTAAACAGCTAAAAAACATTTTACGCTGATCCAATCTAGACCAGTAAACTTTTACCATGACATGGGCACATATAATGACGATTATCATGATTGAAAGCTGCATTAACATTAAGAAATTAATCTTTTTCATCCCTTAATGAACGTAATATAGTAGGTTTTGAAACTGCAAACTTTGTACACTGTACAGAAATAAGGGGGTGATGTGTTTTAATGTTGCAAATCTCTATTAACGTTGTAATCAAGATAAGCCTCTTGCACTCAAAGGTGTACAAGGCTAATCCCTAATGAAGGCAACTCGGGATTTAGTTCACTTAGTAGACATGTTGGGTAGATATGAGGCGTTGATTTAGGGGATACATCGATAGGGATGGTAGCTAATAATATGTCTTAATGATACATAGGTTGGGAGCCACTGTGTTTGTTTCTTTCAGGATGACCAAAAATAATACTTCTCATTGAAAATGGTATGACCATTCGTATATGTAAATAAAAAAAAACATTCGTATATGTAAATTCATATTATTCGTTAAATTCGTATATATATAAGTAAATGTCATCATCCAACTAAATTAAAAATTAGGTAAATCATCTAAAAACGTCTACTTAAAAGTGTCCGTGGACTAGACTGATCCAATCACTAAAGGAAAATTGCGCAACAATTAAGTGATAGAAAAATCAATCTTTATGCAGATATTATGCCTTTGCATTGAAATAGGTTAAAGATTATTATTTGTCAAACTGTCAAATTATCTGTATATAGATTATCTGTATATAGAATAGAATAGAAAAGTCCATAGCTATAACACAAGAAATTGTAATTCAATGGCTAGACCCTACACCAGGCTAAGCAAGGTGCTCAATTCTTTGGAACACGTTGGTGTATATTCATGGACCTTTCAAAAGCTTTTGATAGTGTCAAACACTCTAAACTTCTAGAAAAGCTTAAAATTCTGGGAGTATCAAGAAGATCTCTTGATTGGTTCACTTCATATTTAACAAATAGGTCTCAATATGTAGAAATATCTCATCTAACGGATAAAAATAAAGTAATGAAATCAAACTCAGCTTATAGACCAGTCAAATTTGGGGTGCCTCAAGGTTCTATTCTTGGGCCTTTGCTCTTTTTGTGTTACTTGAAGGGCATGGAAAATATGATAATCCATAAACAAAATTCCAAATTATGTCTTTACGCTGATGACTCAAATTTAATTTTATCAGCTGACTCATTGGAGGAGATACAAATGTTTTCTTCTAATGAACTTAATAACATTGGAGACTACTTACATGATCATAACCTTATTTTAAATTCTGAAAAAAACTAAGTTCATAACGTTTAAAACACAACAAAACCGAAAATCTTCAGATCCAACACTAGAATATAAATCACAAAACATCAACAGGGAAAGTAGTATAAATTGTCTAGGTTTAACGATAGATGAGCACCTAAATTGGGATGAGCATGTTAAATAGATCCTGCTAAAGATTAATTCTGGAGTTTATGCTCTATCAAAAATGTCTTTTTATTGCAATATAAACACTTTGAAGAATATATATTTTGCTCATGTGCATTCCCATATCCAATTTGGCATAGCATTATACGGTTCAACAAAACAAAGAAATATGGACTCCATTTTTAAACAGCAAAAAAAAGCTATCAGGATGATGCTCAAGCTTAAGGGGGATGATTCAGCCAAACAACACTTTACACATCTAAAAATTTTTACAGTTTATGGACAATATATATATGAAGTTATTGTTATTGCGAGTGGAACAGTGAACGAGGAAGAGGAATAACAAACAACTGTTCAACAAAACCTCAATAAATTAGTTAAAATCCGCTATTACTCCATGTGCACTTAATTGGAGTATTCTTAAATTATTTGTATATTTAATTAGTATTAAGCAATTGAAAGTCAGTCAAAATTGCGTCACTTCCCGCTTATACATCACTGTAACCCAAATGTTATTACTTTGATAATTATACTTTCATAACTATTACACTCACTTATATTATTGATGTTATTGCTATTTTTGTATAATTTTAATCATTTTGTTGCTAATTTTTACTATCACGTTAGTATTGTTGATCAATCATCATTTTTAATATTTTATCCATTGTGTTGATTGCTATGAAACTTGTAGAACTTAGTTATTGCCGTTGAGAAAATAAATAAAATACCCCCGCCGCAGCAAACCTGCAGACTAAGCGAATTTCCATTTGCCTGATTGGATTTACACTAAAATGTCTCCTAAAAAATATCACATTTATTCCCTATTTAAATAGAATCAGTTTAACACATACTTAGGTTTGCTGCAACAGGGAGGGTAAAAGTGTTTTTTATGTAAATTGTAATAGTTAGTAAGAAATAAAAACATTTTCCAAATTTGTGCAAAAAATGTTAATAAACAAGCGAACTACAACAGTTTACTTATTCTCCATAAGAATAACATGGGATTTTAAATTTAAAATGTTTTGGAATTTTCTCCGTAACCATTAGGCGCATTATAACGTTTCAATATACTAAATTATTTGTTTTTTTAAGCTCTACAAAATAGTTTGAAAAGAAATTACAAAATTTTATGTTTTTTGGGTCAAAAATGGGAAAAACCCATTTTTACCCCATAAAAGCCCCCATAAACCCCCGTTCCCATGGTCCGATCATGCTGGTTCGCGAACTCGTTCGAATAAACTTAGGTTTACACGTTTGTACCTAATTTCATCAAAATCGGATCATTTTTGTTCGAGTTATCGCGCTAACGGACACATATATAAATATATATTTATATATGTGTCCGTTAGCGCGATAACTCGAGCAAAAATGATAAATATATATATATATAAATATATATATATATATAAATATATATATATATATAAATATATATATATATAAATATATATATATATATTTATATATATATATGACTAAATATATATATGAATTTGAACGGATGGTGTTTTTGGCCTCTAGGGACCTCAAAACGAAAAAAAAATCGGTCCCGGGTCCAGGTCTTACCATGAGTACTACGGTAATAGCTTATTCCCTATATAGGAAATTCGCTAAAACTAAGTAAGAAAATGGACTGCCGGCTGACATGAATTGTCTTTTTTACGAGCCCAAATCAGTAAAAATAAGTTTTATGCTTGATAAATTAACAAGTGTATTTATAATCGTAAACCTCAATCGAACCGATAATCAAAAGATATTTTTTGCAAATATTCCCCTGTCATAAAGAGTTTTATTTGAAAACGTGCCAAACAACCAAACTGCCCTAGAGTTCACACAGTTGCAACGGTACCACAATTTCCCCTCCAATATCCATTTCCCTGTACAATCTGGCGGGAAAATCGACGATGTAGGCCAGTGGTCTGTGTACAGAACGTTCTGACCTTGTCTACAATTAGAGGAGGCTGTGGATAATTTCAGCGACGTAATTGTTTAATTGTTGGCCCTCGCCAGCTCTCTTGGCAGTGGGACAGGCGGTGCAACGTCCCTAGATATTTATTCTACCACATAACTCTCGCAAACTCCGGTCCACCCCCGCCGTCTCGCGAATTTGGCAACGATCACTCGCAACTCTGGGTGCTGGGTGGCGTTTGCATTCTGGGTGCGGGTGTGTAATGTTTCCAGCGATTTGGTCGCGGTTAGTTTAGTTGATTAAATTCGCGAGTTGCCGTTAGTGTTGTAAAACCATTTTGTTCCTGCTGTATTACTTTGGTGGATTTTATTATAAGGGTTGATTTCTAAATTCTAATAAATCCATACACACGTACTAGTTCTATTTGTGACCTTATACAATTTTAAATACGCATTACTATATTTAAGTCACCAATGCAGTGCAGTCCATTAAAAAATACGTATTCTTCATCAATGGCCCCCAGAACTGTTTGATATAATACATACCAGAAATTCCGTCACAGCTCTAAACCGACCTTTTCATGCACTATAAAGGACGAGTTGGAGATGTGACGAAAATTCTGATATTTTATAAAAAATACTATCAACAATTTTAAATTATTACCTAAATTATCTGTGAACCCCGGTGGCGCGAAGACCAGCAGGACCAGCCACACGGAGAGTTGAACTCGAATCATTTTTCACATCACAATTATCCAGAAAATTGGTTATCCATTTGACACTAAAAACAAAACAGAGTACAATACACAAACACTAAATGTACGCAGCACCAACACACACGTGAGCTATGGTTTCAACGAGCTGACGTCACGCACGCACATTCCAGAACGGGAGTCAGAACGAAACTGGCGTTGAGCGCGCCGCTGAGCGTTAGTTGCGAGTTCTGCCGCTAGGCGCGCCACCGGCTAGACTAATAATAGCCACTGTCTGTCTACCTATTCTTTTTTTGTGGCTAGTTTAGTGTATTTAAAAATCAACATGTGTTTCTCATCTCGCATTTGGAAGTTGTTTTCGGTGTTGACATTAAATTTAGTAACGTTTAATTGTGCGTAAAGATAGCGGTTTGGATTTGAATATTTGGTTCTAATTAGAGCTATGACAAGGAGAATTGTTAGACTTTAGAATCTTCTGTTTTTATATTTAAAAAGTAAGTTAATCTACCAAATACATCAAGTTCAAATAATGTATAAAATTTACGATTTAATTTGGAGTGATATGATTAATTAACTGGTGTATCAAATTTATACCCCCTTTATTAATAAATGTAGTCATATTCAGGTGAAAACGAAATTGTATGAACTTAAAAAAAGGAACAAGTAGACCAATAAAAATTCACACCAAGTCAGATTCCAGTAAATAAAACAAGTACTGTAAAATAATTTTAGCTTTTCTGTAACATGCTTTTTCACTGATGTTCAATACAATGAACAGATTAGATCGAATAAATCAAATGTTTAATCTAATAGAATGACTCAAAGAAATTGATTTGGCCAAAAATGTAAATTTTAATATTGACTTATTCTGTTGTTCTTTCTACCGGTTTAAATAAAAATTAACGAATGTGGCATTTTACCGTTTTTTAATCAACCAGGATTACATTTTCATCGGATTCATCCGATGCAATTTTAGGTATTTATTGCTACAAAACGTAACTCAATATCCTACTTATATTGTAATTGAGTAATTTATAATAAAACTTGTTGGGTCTGATGATTGGAATTTGAAATCGAAAATCGATAACCATTTACCATCGTGTATACAGTAAATATTTACCGTCTTCTGAACAAACAGTATAAGTTTAAATAATTGTTTCATGGTTAATTGGACGTGTTTTTATACACCCCTTAAATTTAATATCAAGTACAATGCTGTTCAAGAAGTTAATTTCAATGTGTAAAGTAATTTCTTTTTATATTGCAGTAATTGATATGTAAAACACGTAGAAAATAAGTGCAAGGGACGAGGAAACCACTATAATAACAGTGGATTGTCCGCTATACGATACAGTACATTTCTTTTAACTCTACATTAGTAAAGAGAACTTTAACTAATTACATAAATCTAGATCAAAAGTTTTCACGCAAACTTATATTTGGCCATTATATGTTCATTCAATTTAATATTCGTATAACCGCATTTTCCAAAATAAATTTGTTCTTATATGTATATAAGATATATGTAGGATTTAGCTTAAAATGGTAAACATATCCAAAGTTCGAGGCAATAAAACATGATCAATATCGATATTGGATTTTCCACCCTCTAACTGCCACACTAGCTGCAACCCTTATATGTTAGTAACAAAGCTAGAGAGTGTATATTATAATACCAAATATTATAATAAAATATATTACTATGCCATATTCCATAACGTTTACCATATTAGTATAGAAACAGGTCCAGGCTAGAACGAGAAAAAGGTATATATTTCATCAATGAAATCCTCCTTTACCACCATACAACAGCAAGCATTAACATGAGTCAAATCCCAATTACACATTAATATGAGATATGACTGAAGAAATGAACAGAAACCTCTAAAGAAAAGTCCTACTTAAAAATGCATGTACAGTACAAAAAGCCCCCCCCCCCAAAGTAAACAGTCCTTTCCAAAAAAGTACCTGGGATTTCGACAGCCAACCTATTTTAAAACTTGGTAGCAAAGTAGAGAATATTTCTTTCAAAAATTAATTCTTCATTATTAAGAACATAAGGGTTAACTACACACGTTTGAATGGTGAATACGTTCGTTCTGAGGGCGTCTTTCCAGAGGTCCTTATGGGTAAAACATAGACTGCATAAACTAGATAAGAAACAAGCATAAAAAGCTGTGCGTAAATAGTTACGGTCATACTACTTAAATATAATAATTTTTAATGCAGTACATTGAGAATCTAAACCAATAAAGAAACCGAAGTTTTAAAATACATTGAAAGGCAATACCACATAATTAGTTGAGACCAATAATAACCTTGCTGTGGAAATGAGGCGGGAAAATTTCCTTTTTATGTTCAGCAATCGCGATATTCATCATGTGAGAACTCTCTTTCACTAAAACCACTCAATCAGAAATCCTTTGCTGAATACAAAATAAGTTTTACCAAAAGACTAACCACATTTCCCACTTATATGCAAAAACGGGAAAGTTTCTTTGACACGATCGAAATGTTCAGAAATACAAACCAAAACGGTGAAATCGTCGGAATTGCGTATTTATCGGTTTTAACTCCGACAAATTGGAATTCTGACAGTAATTAGCATGTTATTTTCGTTTTGGAGTTTTCAACCAAACCGACCAACCGCTATTTATTCTAAATATATTTGTGTCATACTTATATCTCATTTTAAGCTTTTAATTGCGAACCAAAATGCCAATTAGTGCAAATTTATAAAATTATTACACCAACAATTTATGTTAACACCTAATATTTAAGTTCCATTTTTTCAATGTCTGATAATATTTTATTCAAATGAATCTAAGAATCTTTTAACCATGAATTTCGAAAAAAATACGAACCAATTATTTTAAAATATAGTTGTTTAGCCTCCGGATTACTGTATTATACTTAAAATGGTTTACAATACCTGCATATAGTAATCCTTTGTTGCTGTTTTGGCAACTAGTTTCGGTTCATTATTGAACCATCTTCAGGCCTCAAGGTGTCAAATAATCACTTCATTCGAACTTATTTGACACCTTGAGGCCTGAAGATGGTTCAATAATGAACCGAAACTAGTTGCCAAAACAGCAACAAAGGATTACTATATGCAGGTATTGTAAACCATTTTAAACCAACTATTTAATTATATTTTGTTATTTTGAAAGTCAAAATACACTATACACTATTCTTTGGGTGTTTATAGTTTGGGTGTTTGTTAAGCAAATACAGTAAAACGATTATGAATTAATTAGAGTATAAGTCACTGAGATCGTATGTTTGTTTTTGACACCAGAAAATTCTTTATCAATCACAAAAAGCACATCAATGAATGGCAGCTTGTTCCCGAAAAAAACTCAAAAGGTTGATAATATATTTTTTTTTTAGCTGAAACTCGATATATCACGGCTTTTTCATACTTCACATGTCATACAGTAGCCTAATAGAATATCTATAGAAAGTTGATCTGGTTGACTGAATGTAGTGATACATGCATTATGCGTTTCTCTGCTATAACTACCTTCTTTGTATTATTTTGAATTGGATTTCAACTCTACTTCTATATACCTTACCCGTATAACTAGTACTTTACAGCTGCCACCCTTTAGTATATGTTTATAGTTAAAGGCTTTCGATATTTAAATTCGACCATGGACGCAAGAAAAGTAGATTACTAAAGATCTACCAAATAAATTATAGTAATAAAAAAAATTATGTAGTTTGATCAAAATATGTTTACATATAGCATGTTACTTCCAGTTAGACTTGTTTTAAGTATCACAGACATTCAAAAAGAAATTGTCTAAGTTACAAAAACATTATAATTAAATTATTACATGATCCATAATTTTTTCTTTACCACCATTATTTTTTTTCCTGTAAGATAATGAGAAAACGTAACACATGTAATACGCTAAAGTATATTTCATGTGACTAAATATTATTAATAGGCTTTTATCTATTGTGAAAAATAAATATTTTATTGGAATTTTTAATATGATTTCCATGAATATATTTTCATTCCTAGAAACATATTTTTATCCTAATTAAGCTTAGTAAGTATTTGTTATGAAATTAAAAATCTTTAAAACATGAAAATTCTGTAGGTCTACTGATTCGGTAAGCGCCTTCAACTATTTAACAGCAAACACTGTACCCTACGTGTATACTAAGAGGCATAACACATCTTTGTGAAGGCTGCAATCGGAGTATTCAGCCTTAACTATTTTATTTTTACAATTCAAATCGTTGTTAAAATTAAGAACTTTAAATAAAACAACAATCTTTCGTCAAATGAGTAAAAAAAACACACACACTAATAACATCCGTAATCCAAACACTACATTCCTTTTGTAGAAATAATTTCATGCATGACTGTACTGTACTAGAAACTCTCCATTAATTGAACACACCCAAAATGCAAATTTCATAATGTGTTATTTCAGTTATTGGTGGTACGCTGAAGCCCTCTTGTCTGTGTTCAAAGATAATTGGACTCCATTGTAAATCGATCTGATGATTGGAAACGGCTTGTTGCCCTTGGTTGATTAATTAGAGTTGATTAACATCAATTAGCTAAACAAGATCAATAAAGAGTGTTCAATTTTGTCAGTTTTAATTTACCATACACGTTTGAAGACAAAGGACTTTTGAGTTAACCATGATGTTGATCTATTTCAAATATTACTGAGGAAACAGATTAACTGTACTATTTATATAATTTGTTAATTGCCCTAATTTTATACACTGTCTGTAGTCAGTATATCAGGTTTCTGTGGCTGATTTAACTTGTTTTTATTATTTTGCTGACGGACTATATTTAATTGATTTAATTGGTTACAAGCAATAGTCAATAGACAATAGATTTTATTCCTTTGAACATACAGATAATGCAATAGGTCAAGTCAAGAAGTGGATATGGTAAAAATACATACAATTGAGACAAATAAAACAAAATAAGAACAGCGAAAAAGATAATAAATGTTACATCAGATTAACAGGTCATGATATGAGGCAATCTTCCATGTAATCCGTGACAGAGTAATAGGATTGGTCCTTTAGAAAAGAGTTACAGTTTTCTTAAGTCTATTGAGAGTCAAATTTCTAATAGCTAATGGGAGTCTATTATAAAGAGCGAGTTGATGGTTAACATGACAATGCCGGGCTTTT